CCAACCTTGACACAGTAGCTTCTTCCTTGAGCTTACTCACTGCATGGCTACAAAATGGCTGCAACAAATCCAGGTATAACATCCTGACACAATAATGATAATAATGATTAGAAGAAGGTTGCCTTCTCTTCCTTGGGCCTCTCTTTAAAATGAAGGAAAGTGATTCCAGAAGCTTCTAGAAATTTTCTCTCACAGCTCCTTAACCAGCATTGACATGATGATGTTTGAGCCAACCACTGCTACAGGGATCAAGATCATCATGATACGTTTAAACCAATAGGGGCTTTACCTGGAGGCACAGGAAGGAGGGGTGTACACTGGAACAAAATGAGGGTTCTTTCAGCAGGAAAAACAGGTTAATGTTGGGGAGCAAACCAGCAGTGTCAGCTACACCCTTGTTGTGGACACAATTGTTTTATACCAAATTTCAGGGAGGTGAACTTACTTATGTAAGGTTCCACAGTTGATAAAAATAGAAGCAGGGTTCAAATCCACATGCCAAAGCCTATCCAGGTACTTTCTTCTGCGCATGTGTACCCGGAGTCAGACCACATATCCCTGGAAACAAAAGTCCTGTTTCTCATGGTGAGCTCTTTAGGGGTTCAGGCGATCTCCCTTCTTTCCCTAGCCCAGCCTTCATCTGGGCGTTTGATCTGCGTATTAAGTTATGACTTAATGGTGCCACGAGATTTGGACCTAGTTTTAGATTGTTAGAGGAGGTTCAGGGGATAAACACTGGATTCCCATTTGGTGCTGAGAAATTCAGTTGCAGCTCTTTCTCTTTCAGTGTGTGCGCATTGGCAAGGGGCTTCTGCTGAGTCCTGCTTTGGTTTCATAGAAACAAAACCTCCAAAGCAGGAGGGCTGTTTTGGGAAAGTGGCCACTAATGGGGCCCCATGGGGCAGGGGCCAGGCCTGCACTGGGCAGTTTGCATATTCACTTTTACAAACAGTTGGCTCAAAGTCAGCAGTTAATGGAATGGGATGATGTTCCTGTACCAAATCGTTTCCTGAAAAAAACATTTCCAATTGCAAACATATCTTGGCCTTTCTTCTTGGATTTGTTATGACTCCGTGAGTGAATTAAAGAGGTAGGGCAGAGGGGAATGTTTCTGACTGGGGATTTTTCATCTGAAAACGTTTTTAACAATGATCTACGCAGAAAAAGAGATCCTGTTCAGACCCACCTTTCAGAGTCTCAGCTTCAAATATTGAGTTTCTAGTCACATTTTAGAGATGTTTCAATACCTCTCTATTTACAAATTGGCTCCCTTTGGCTATCCAACAAGTCTTGGGACAGATGTGTCTTTTCTTCCCTTACAAAATGTAAGCTGGAAATGCTGCCCCAGAAATGTGCGTGCATGCACACGCGCAAGTACACACGCACAGTCAGGCTAAAATGCACATGTATTTTGTTTTTCTGGGAAAAAGTTAAAATCCTTTGCATCCCATACTCTACTTTGGCAAATTCTGCCTCAACTCAAAACCTGTGCAGTTGAAGGGTGGTTTTGACAGTTTGGATTAGATATTCAACAAATATTTCTTGAGTGCTTACAATACCTGAGGTGTTGTTTTAAGTAATAATAATAATAGTAGCATATATTTACCTATTTCTTAGCAGCTGCCAGGTATGCTTCTGGGTATTTTGCATATATTAACTCATTTAATCTTCTCAGCAACCCTAGGAGGTAGGCAATATTGCTACCACTCCCATTTTGCAGATAAGGAATCTAAGGCTTGAGAGGCTGATGAACTTGCCCAAGGCCACAGAGCTGGTGACTGGTAGAGTCTGGATGTGCATGTAGGCAGCCTGGCTTCTAACCACTGTACCTCTTTGGGGATCTAATAGCGAATGAGAGAGAAATAGTGCCAGTCCTTACAAAACTTACATTCTGGTGAGGAAGAGAGTTAACAAACATATAAATTATTATTTCAGATCATGAGAAAATAAAACATGAGAGGGAGGTGGGAGTGCTAATCAGAGTCTGATATCAGAGTTGAGGTTTTATTCTGAGTATGATGGGAAGTCACAGGAAAGCTTGAAGTAGGAGAATGTATGATCCTATTCACGTTTTTATAAGACATTCTGGCTGCACTGTGGAAGGTAGGTGAGAGTTGGGGAAATGCAAGCAAAGCAGCAGACCAGCTAGCAGGTGGTTCTGATGGTCCAGGCAAAAGATAATGGTGGCTCAAGTCAGGATGGTGGAGCAGGGAGATGGTGAGAAGTGTTTGGAATTGAGTCCTGGTTTGGAGGCGGAGCCCACAAAACTTGCCTGTGTTTTATACGGATGCAAAAGGTGAGGAAAATGAGAACTTAAGGGTGATTCCTCGGAGCTTGGTGTGAACCATGGTGTAAACGGTGGTGCCATCACTGAGGAGGATAAGAATAAAGGAAGAACAGGTACGTTTTAGTGCTGGTATAGTGGGTGTGAGGGATGTTGAGAATCTCAAGTTCTGTGTGGATGTGTACATTTGAGAACTCTATTAATAGACTTAAGAGGAGACATGGAGCACACGGTTAGATTCATAAGCCTGGAGCTCAGAGTCAGACCCAGGCTGCAGATTTAAATGTGGACATGGTCACTAGTAGAATGGGATGACCTAGGACAACATTTTCCACTTAATCTTTTTTTTTTTTAATGTTATTTTTTAACTTTCATTTCAGTTCAGGAGAACATGTTTGTTACATAGGCAAACTTGTGTCCTGGCAGTTTGTTTTATGGATTGTTTTCTGAATGCCCATTAGTGATTGGCTGGATAAAGAAAATGTGGTACATATACACCATGGAATACTATGCAGCCATGAAAAAAGAGCAGGATCATGTCCTTTGCAGGGACATGGCAGGAGCTGGAGGCCATTATTCTTAGCAAACTAACACAAGAACAGAAAGCCAAATACAGCATGTCTTCACTTAAATCATGAGAACACACTTGATGATCTTGTGAATGGAAACTTTCTACATCCATGCTGTCCAGTATTGTAGTACCAGCCACCTGTAGCCAGAGTGTTTGAAATGTGGTTGGTGCAGCTAAGCAGCTGAATTTTTAATTCATTGAAATGTAAATAGCTCAAGTGGCTAGTAGCCACTGTATTGGACAGTGCAGATCAGTGTAGCTTCAGGAGAGAAAGTCCCAGGCAGGAGCAAGTTCCTTCTCTAGCCAGTAAGCCTAGCCTTGCAGCCACATTTAAACATGACTTTATTTCCACTGCTCACAGCATGCATGGCAACGCTTGTTAACAAAGTAATGAAAATCATGCTGCTTTGTGAGGAATAGCCTGGGAAAGAAAGAAAACTGGTAGTTCTAGGGGAAATATTAGAAGAAACTATAGAAGTCTAAGGAAGCAGTTGTGCTTAGCTAGAAAACAAACACAATCCTGTACCTACAGAATCATTTAAGCCGGGGTGCCCAATCTTTTGGCTTCCCTGGGCCATATTGGAAGGAGGAAGATTGTCTTGGACCACACATACAATACATGAAACACTAATGATAGCTGATGAGCTAAAAAAACACACACAAAAAAACTCCTGATAATCTCATAATGTTTTAAGAAAGTTTATGAATTTTCTTAAAAATTCTGCATTTTTGGGCTGCATTCAAATCCATCCTGGGTCACACTGCAGCCTGTGAGCTGCAGGCTGGACAAGCTTGATTTAAGCTTTGAAGGTATCTCTTCTGTGTTTGTTACATTTTATGGAGAATGCTATGAAATGGTGTGTGTCTGTGAATTTGGAGATTCAAGGTGGTGACTGGCTGGTACCCTCTATCAATGTCCAGGGCCCACTACAAAGGTACTAAATACCAGCCTCGTCTTGCGAGTTGTGTCTCTTCAGGGCACAGTGTGTTCACTCCCTTTGTCAGTGTCGTTCCAGTCCAACTGCGGCTATCAGTGAGTGTGCTGATGTGAAAGAACTCTTTGTAAGTGGATGCCTTGTGCTTAGGATTTCTTTCAAGTCTATGCCGGCACTTGGTGAGGCCAGAGTCAATAAAAAAAAATAAAATGGAAAGATGGGACGTTGCTTTTATTAAGGTTGATTGCAGCTGCTGTGTTAGCTCTTTAAGAACCTCTTGGTGACCAACACCTTCTGAGAAAATGGCCTTTCTGTGCTTAATTGGCGAAAAGCAAAGGGATTTAAGTCACTGCTTTTAGGAGGGGTAATCCAAGGTCAGCACTCACCAAATGTCTGTCACACAACTGGTTTTGTGGGAGGAATTTTTTTGTACTGAGCCTCCCTGTGGGGGCTGGGCACTTGGAGGAGAGTGGGCTGGTAGTTTTTACCTCTTTTTATTGTTTATTCCAAGGAAGATAGAATTATAGATTTCTAGGATTTGAAGACTGTAAAAAAGCTTACTGTTCATCTAGTCAAACTCTCTACTTTCAGCTGAGGAAACAAGAGAGAAGTGCCTGGCCTCAGGTCCCACAGCTGGTTCCATCTGAAGGGATAGGACCAGAACTCAGGGAAGGGCCGGGACCAAGGTATTTTTGAGCAGTGGCTGGGGTTGGGTGGAGGTGGAAGAGCAGGTAATCAGGAGAGGTGAGAAGTCAGAGGAGGCTGGAGCTGAGGATGGAAATGCCTTACAGCGTACATATAGCTTCAAACCCACGACCCTGTTCATCCTGTCAGCAGCCACTGGGTACGAGACAGGAAGCCCTGGAAGGTGGGACAGGCAGGAGGCAGAAGCAGAAAGAAGTCAGCGCCCACCTCGCTTCCGTTTATTCCGAAATCTTTTCTGAGAGGAGGGCGATTTCTGTGCTGTTGAGACCTCCCTGTTTCCCTGAGGAAAGCAAGTGAGGTGACAATTGGCAGAGGTGAGATTAAGGGGACAATTAGGTCCTGTCAGCCAGGCGAGGCTGTGAATTGATTGTAGGCTGAGTAACAGCTGTAATCTACCCTTAGTGGGTATTTTTCTCAATGTCAATATCCAACACCCTTGTTACAGAACTCCAACCCCCTGCTGTCCGTCGGCTGAAATGTGACCCTGCTCTTCCTTTTCTTCCAGTGTCTGAGCTGCAGGAGGAGGGAATGAACGCCATCAACCTGCCCCTCAGCCCGATTCCCTTCGAGCTGGACCCCGAGGACACAATGCTGGGTAACTGTGCTCTTGTCTCTGAATTGGCTTAAGCTTTCCGGTGCCAGCACCCCCACTGAATTCCTTTTCTTTTTAAAGAGGAGAATGAGGTGAGAACAATGGTGGATCCAAACTCACGCAGTGACCCAAAGCTTCAAGAACTGATGAAGGTAAGAAGAAATCAGGAGTGCCTCACAGACCCACCAGGTGTCCATATGCCACCTGCTGTGAGCAAGCACCCCGCAAGCCCCTCAGGGGAGGTAAAAAGTCACAGCAGCCCCTGCCTCCATCTAGCAGATGGCCATCGAAAATGTAACTGATTGTGTAAGCGTGGAATGTGACAAATGCCCAGTGAGTGGTGCTGGTCATAGCACCAGACAGATCAGTACAGGTAAGCTCATGTTGGCCAGGATTCCAGAGTGCACAAAATGCTTATTTTCTCAAGGACTCTCAAAAGCATGCAGTGGAGTAGAAATTAGTCTCATTCCCATTTTCCAGATGAAAAAACCAAGTCTCAGAAAAACCAAGGGGTTTGTTTATGATCATAAACAAGGAGACGGAATTCAAACAGAAATAAAGGAGATGAAGTGACATACTGTGCATAACGTAACTGTATAGTGGCTGGTGTGCGCCTGTCCTTCTAAAACTGTTCATTTCTCCCCTGCATCCTGTTCCCTGTTCTATCTTCCTCCTCTTCAGCTTAACCAAGCTGCACTTAAGACAAAAGGCATTCAGGCCTGTTATCCCAGCACTCTGCGGAGGCTGAGGCAGGTGGATCACTTGAGCTCAGGAGTTCGAGACCAGCCTGGGCAACATGGTGAAACACCATCTCTACTAAAAACATAAAAATTAGTCAAGTGTGGTGGCGCATGCCTGTAGTCCTAGCTACTCGGGAGGCTGAGGTGGGAGGAGGGCTTGAACCTGGGAGGCAGAGGTTACAGTGAGCCATGATCCTGCCACTGCGCTGCAGCCTGGCCCTGTCTCAAAAAAAAGCACTGGATGTCAGAGTGATTCATTCCCCACGCAAATCTGAATATGCACTTCCCCAGTGCACGACCTGTCAGAGTTTCCCATCCACCACAGGCTGCAGGCCACTCCTGGAGGTGGTGTTTAGAATCCGTGCTCTAGCTGCCTGTTCAATCTCAGATCAGCCGCTACCCAGCAACACAGGGATGCCAGACCTGCCCCTCCCAGCAGCCCATGCGTGCTCCCAGCACTCCTCACCGCCAAGCCTGGCTAATGCAGTCCACTCTGAGTAGAATGCTTCTCCTGCCCTTCATCTGAAAGTCTCAGCATGGCTACCTGCTCCAGGGAGCCTCCTCCAAACTCCAGTGCCATGGCTCAGCCCCTCCGTGGCTGCTGTGGCCCTGTCCTTAGCTCATGCACTTCACTAAATGGTGAGCTTCTTGGGGTTAAAGACTGTCTTTTTTGTCCATCATTGTTGCTTGCCATTAGAGTAAGGAATAATAGGGGCTATCGATATTATCAGGGACACTGGTGCCACCAGCACTAGCAGGATGCACATCTGAAAATTAAGAAGGCCAATAGGGCTTACACTTATAGCTACTTGTGCACACACTGGGTCATGTGGCTAGTTCTGCTGCTTTTAAAATCTGAAGTTCAAAGCTGGGCACAGTGAAACGCACCCATAGTCCCAGCTTTACAGGAGGCTGAGGCAGGAAGATCACTTGAGCTCAGGAGTTTGAGTCCAGCATAGGCAACATAATGAGACCCCGTCTCTAAAATAAAATGAAACTTAAAATCTGAAGTTCATTTACATTTTAATTGTTCAAGATAAGAAAGCTGGTCTATAAGAAAACACCCCATGACTCTTTTCTTATTCTTGCACATTCTCTCTCTCTGTAGGTATTAATTGACTGGATTAATGATGTGTTGGTTGGAGAAAGAATCATTGTGAAAGACCTGGCCGAAGATTTATATGATGGACAAGTCCTGCAGAAGCTTTTCGGTAGGAGAGTTGAGTGCTGCAGTGTATGTGGCTTTAATGGCAGGTGGTTGGATCACCTACTTGTAGCTAGAAGGAGTTAGTTATGCTCAGTTTACAGTGGCTTACCTAGAAATGGACTACAAATGTGCGGAGTGTGGAATAATAGCTCAGTGAAGACTTTAGATATACTCTTAGAATCTGTTTCACATGAATGAATTGTAGAAGGAGTCTTCATGACCAGATGGGCCTGCTCCTTCTAGCAGCCGAGGGTCATCGGCTAGATAAAAGGACCCCACTATATATTAATAGCTAGAAAGTATACCTTCCCCATTCCAGAAAAGCATGCATGTGTAGCCTCTGTATGTATATTTACATGTGTGGGCGCGAGTATGAATTTTTAGATCTCCATCACCTTCAGTGCATGTGTATGTGTATTCCTCTGTGATCTGTGGACTTGTCAGTGTGTGTGTTCCTCCCTGGGTCGCTTTGCAGCTGTTCGTATGAAAATGTAAGGACAAAGGGGAAAGAAAGGAGAATTCTCTTTCTTCAGGGGTAACCTTAGTGATGAAAGGATAAATTTCAGCTTGAATGGAGTTAGATGTCCCCCACTGCTCCTAATCTAACTCTGGCCCAGACCTTCCCCTCAGATTGTAGACTTCAATCCTTAGCTGCCCTCTGGGCCCCTCTGCCTGAGTCTACCTTAGACTGTAGACTGAATTCATCCACTTTTCTAAAGCTGTTTGTTCCCCTCTGAGTTCATAGAATCCCCTCCCCTCCTCCTTGCTACCCTGCCCCCATGTATACAGGGATCGGCAAGATCCATTTCTGTCTCTCCTGAGTATATCCTCTGCCATTTTCACTTCTGTGAATTGCTGTTCTCTGAACTATTGAAAAAACGTCCAAACACTTACTGTGTACCATCTCAGCTCCTCCAACCAACACGGCTTGCAGAGGAAACTTTTAAAATCACAAGTCCACTCTTACCAATACTTATTTATAACTCTTAGTGGCTCTCTCCTGCCGGACATGGTCCAAACCCCTTGGCACAACATTCAAAGCATTTCATCATCCAGCGACCCCCAGCTGTCTTCGCAGCCTCACCTCCAGACCTCCAGCCACTCCCACACACGCAGCTCATCCGTGTGGTAATATGTGTAAAGTGCTTAGGATAGTGCCTGAACCATGGTAGATGCTCGATAAATGTCTGTCATCATTGTTGGTTTTACAATTTTTATGTATACTATTGCTGCATTATTACATATGGCATGCATATTAACATGCCTGTACTTCTGATCATGCTAGTCCTTCTGCCTCTAAGGCCTTCCTTCCTCCTTTACCCACGAGGGCAAACCACTATTGCTCATCCTTCTGATCTCTAGAATTAATCAAATGTGCCTCCCTATTACACCCTTTACAATACTTTCACTTTTCTTTTTTTTTTTTTTTTTTTTGAGATAGGTTCTTGCCTTGTCACCCAGGCTGGAGCGCAGTGGCATGATCTTGGCTCATTGCAGCCTCGACCTGCAGGGTTCGAGTGATCTTCCTGCCTCAGCCTCCTGAGTAGCTGTGACTACAAGGCATGCACCATCACGCCAAGCTAATTTTTGTATTTTTTGTGGAGGTGAGGTTTTGCCATCTTGCCCAGGCTGGTCTCAAACTCCTGTGCTCAAGCAACCTGCCTCAGCCTCCCAAAGTGCTGGGATTACAGTAGTGAGCCACCACACCTGGCTCTATTGTCACATTTAGAAAAGATAGTCATATACTCTTTTTTTTGTGTTCCCCCAACATATATGTATCTCTTTCTGTGAGGGAATATATATACACATGCACATATATGCAAGTATGTACACATATATACACTTATATATCTATATACATATATGTGTTTAAGTATATATACATGCCTTATTATAAGAATTGCCATGTTGTCTGTAGCTGTTTTGCTAAATGTGTGTGGGCTTCCCAAGAGCAAGAGGCATGTCCTATATATTTATCCAGGCTTTTCCAGCACCAACGGGTTGTGTAGCAAATGTTGCCTAGCCCCTAATCAATGCATACTGAGGCCGGGCGCAGTGGCTCACACCTGTAATTCCAGCACTTTGGGAGGCTGAGGCAGGCAGATCACCTGAAGTCAGGTATTTGAGACCAGCCTGGCCAGCATGGTGAAACCCCATCTTTACTACAAATACAAAAATTAGCCAGGTGTGGTGGCAGGCAGGCGCCTGTAGTTCCAGCTACTCAGGAGACTGAGGCAGGAGAATCGCTTGAAAAGGTAGAGGTTGCAGTGAGCCAAGATCATGCCATTGCACTCTAGCATGGGGGATAGAGCGAGACTCTGTCTCAAAAAAAAAGTGTACTGATGAATGAACGAATGAATGACTAATGTAATTTCTAGGAAGCTAAACTGATTGAATTCTCAGACATCAGTATTGGTGAGTGTTAATATTTAAAGGCTTGTAAACTCCAACTGATACAGAGAGAAAATGAAAAAGCTTTGGCACAGGAGGACATGGCTAAGCTGGGAGCCTCACTACGCATCTCTCCCAGTGACTACAGCTTTTAACTCCTCCAGCAAACATCTAGTCAGCATCTGAAACTGCCAAAATCTTCTATGCTAGGCTGTCAAAGCAAGGGTAGAACATGGCCACAGAGTAATGGTCATGGAGCAATCTTGCCTCCAGGAATAGTTACGAAACCGTCCAGCGTCACATCTGTGCAATCCAAGTCAGGCATTGCGTACACGCGATTAGATCGTTTCAGATCTCACCCTTCATGCTGAAAAGGTGATTCACTATGGAGGTGATGCTAATTTTTTAAACTTAAGTTTAGACCCTAATCTCAAAGGTCTAAGGCAGAGCATACATATTCAAAGCCTGTAGGTAGAATACTCAGGTGGAAAGAGCCAGTTTGCAGTAAAAAAAAAAAACATATATATATATATATATATATATATATACACACACACACATATATATACATACATACATATATATATATATATGCATTAGGAGCTCCTGGGAGGGATCAGTCTGGAAGCAGACATTTTGGGGAATGTCTTGGTTTGTTTTTTGTTTAACGGCCCTGTGAGTCTAAAGGAGGCAGAGTTTTGAGTAAGCACTCCAACCTTAATTCCCCTTAAATTCCCCTGTGGCTATTTTTCTTATCACTGGTCATGTTAACCTCGATCACATTGTCAAAGTGGTATCTGCCAGATTTCTCCATTATAAAGTTACTGTTTTTCTCTTTTTAATTGATTTATGTGAGGAGAGATGCTTTGAGACCATGTAAATATCCTGTTTCTCTTTAAACTTCTCCCTCTAGTTTTAGCATCCATGGTGGAATGTGTCTGCCACAATTTTCCTTCTGCATTTATTAACTGGAGTTATTCTAAAAGGAAGAGTCGGGCCGGGCGCGGTGGCTCAAGCCTGTAATCCCAGCACTTTGGGAGGCCGAGGCGGGTGGATCACGAGGTCGAGAGATCGAGACCATCCTGGTCAACATGGTGAAACCCCGTCTCTACTAAAAATACAAAAAATCAGCTGGGCATGGTGGCGCATGCCTGTAATCCCAGCTACTCAGGAGGCTGAGGCAGGAGAATTGCCTGAACCCAGGAGGCGGAGGTTGCGGTGAGCCGAGATCGCGCCATTGCACTCCAGCCTGGGTAGCAAGAGCGAAACTCCGTCTCAAAAAAAAAAAAAAAAAAAAAAAGGAAGAGTCGTCATTTCTATTTCTATCACTATGGACATATGTATTTTATACTTTGGGTTTAATCTAGTACTACTTTATCGTTCACTTTTTTGGCTCATCTGCTTTTAACTTTGGCCTTGGGGAGATCTTTCAGGTTGGCTCTGGGACACTTTCAACAAGCTGCCCATTTATTTTTTTCCTGAGCATTTCCTTTGTTTTTTGCATCGTAAGGTACTCCAAGACCATCTTATATTTTTCTTACTCCAGTCTTGGAATCAATCACTTTTCCAAGGAGCCCTGATTTATTTTATGAGAGAATGGAATTTAGATATAGAAATTTGGGCATAATGGTGAGTGTTTTTAACTGTTGTCTGCAGCATAAACAACCAAACATCTGTAGCTAGGTACAGTGCCCTTACATAGTAGTGCTAACCAGCATGACTGTTCCCAGAAATCCAGCTTCTAATCGTACTGGGGCTTGAGCTTCCTTAATACTGAGTTGGTTGGGCAGCGAGTTGGAGGGGCCTGAGTTTGAGATTAGTAAATAACTATGAAACACTAGCACTTAGAAGATGATGGACATGGCATAGGGGGCCTCTGGTAGCCCAAGAGCACACACATCTGACATCAAGAAAAGGATATGGGGATGGGCTTAGTGGCTCACGCCTATAATCCCAGCACTTTGGGAGGCCAAGGTGGGTGGATCACCTGAGGTCAGGAGTTTGAGACCAGCCTGGCCAACATGGTGAAATCCCATCTTTACTAAATTCAAATAATTACCTGGGTATGGTGGTACATTCCTATAGTCCCAGCTACTTGGGAGGCTGAGCCAGGAGGATCACTTGAACCCAGGAGGTAGAGGTTGCAGTGAGCTTAGATCATGCAATTGCACTCCAGCCTGGGCAATAAGAGCAAAACTCTGTCTAAGAAAAAAGGAAAAAGAAAAGGATATGGAATCCAGGAAGCCATGTTGGCTTCAGTTTGGAGCAAAGACTCACAACCTAGAGGCAGAAGTGTGTGAGAAGGTGAGGGAGTATATGAGTCTTCTCACACTCCTCATAAAGATATACCTGAGACTGAGTAATTTATACAGGATAGAGGTTTAATTGACTCACAGTTCCACATGGCTGGTGAGGCCTCACAATCATGGCTGAAAGTGAATGAGGAACAAAGTCATGTGTTACATGGTGGCAGGCAAAAAAGCTTGTGCAAGGGAACACTCATTTTTAAAACCATCAGATCTTGTGAGACTTATTCGCTACCCCATGATTCAGTTATCTCCTCCTGGCCTCACCCTTGACACATGGGATTATTACAATTCAGGGTGAGATTTA